AAAGTGGAAAATTAATACAGAGGTGTCTGATCAGATCACTGGGGAGGAGAATGGAAGGACCATGGGGGAGTTGCTCCAGGCAAGAGTAAACAAGCTAGCTGGGTGCATGACAGATCTCCCTACACTCAGGCAGAGATACCACAGGCTGGTGAACATGACTGACAGAAGAAAAAGCCTTCTTATTCCCTTCCAGAGACACTACAAGTTGAGGTGCTGACTGTGAATCAAGGATGAAATTGTCTGGGAAGGTGGATACTTCCAGAATGAGTGGAAGTATAGGCCAAAAGATATAAAAGGAGGAAGGGCAGGGAAGGGAAGGGCCCTCTTTGTCTTCCTTGGGGTTCCACATGGATGATCATGCGGTGGCTGCCTGTGTTTTCCAAAGGACAGTATTTTAAATGAGAGAAGGACTCCAAGAGCACCCCAGGATCAGTCTGGCCTGGCAGAGGGTGTCAGAGTTATTTTTCTTTGGGTGTTCTAAGGGGACAGGCTCTGAGACAGAAGTCTGCCATTCTTCCAAAATTATGTAGCTTTTGAACAAAAGATTCCTTTCTTTTTCACCAAGTCACTGGTTCCGAAATTTGCCTATGGGCAGCAACAGCAGGACCCCATTTGCTGTTCAGTAACTCCTTGGCTTGTTTACATTTCAATATTATGTGTTTAATTCTCAACATGATATGTATCTGTATTCTTTTGGACACTAATAGAGATGGTTAAGAAAAATATGTGATCTTTGGGCAAGGGTAACTACCATCACTTTATTCACACATGCACACACATTATATATATACTGTACAGAGAAAATTTTCAGGGTTTAAAAAAGAATATGTAATTGCTAGTAAAAGACAAACTATTTATGAAAAAATTGCCTTTTTTTTACATTTGAACTTGTTTACAGTTCAAATATACAGTCTGGAGATGGTACATTTCCACAATTTAAGAAGTGGTCTTGACCTCCTGCACTTGCAAACTCTGTTGTATGGCTATTGGAATAATAACTATTATGAAAAGGCTGTGTGTGCATTTATCTTTGGGAAAGTACCGACTCAATGATGGGAGAGCAATGACATCAGCACTTACCAACTACTCAGTGCCCAAAGGGAGGAGTTCAACAAACTTATTACTTGTGCGGTATCATTTTCTACCACATTTTAATTATATTGAAATAATAAATTTAGAGAGTGAAACTCCAAGAGAAAGAAAAGGACAAAGTTTTAAAAATAATGCTATTTGTCCAGCCAAGATGTAAAGGGCCAAGGAAGCCCTTGCTTCCTTGCACAACCAAAAGGAGGATAACAACCAATCTAAAGTCAATAAACAACCAGAAGTGCCAGAAAATCAAACTGCATGGAACTCCCACAATCAAGGACTTATAGAAAGAGTCAACCAGACCAACCATGCTGGTATGCTGAGACAGAGAAATAGGGCCTAAATGAAAGAATAGAGCAAAACTCCAGAAAGAAAGCTATGCAATAAGGAGATAGCCAACATATTTGTGCAAGTGTTTAAAACCCTAGTAATCAAAATGCTCACAAAACTGATTGAACTTGGTCACAAAATGAAAGAACAAATGAAAGATACCCAAAGTGAAATAAAGCAAAATATTCAGGGAAACAAAAGTGACAGGAAGGAAACCAGGATTCAAAGCAACAATTTGGAACAGAAGGAAGAAATAATCATTTAACCAGAACAGAATGAAGAAACAAGAATCTAAAACAATGAAAAGAGGCTTAGGAACCTCTGGGACAACTTTAAACATTCCAATATACAAATTATAGGGGTGCCAGAAGGAGAAGAACAAGAGCAAGAAATGGAAAACTTACTTGAACAAACAATGAAGGAAAAAAGCTTCACCAATCTGGCAAAGGAAATAGACTTCCAGGAAATCTAGGAAGCCCAGAGAGTTTCAAAGAAGTTGGACCCAAAGAAGAACACACCAAGGCACATTATGATTACATTAGCCAAGATTAAAGATAAAGAGAGAATCTTAAAAGCAGCAAGAGGAAAGGAGAGAGTTACCTTCAAAAGAGTTCCCATAAGGCTAATAGCTGATTCCTCAAAAGAAATCTTGAAGGCAAAAAGGGGCTGGAAAGAAATATTCCAAGTCATGAAAGGCAAGGATCTACATCCAAGATGACTCTATCCAGCAAAGCTGTCATTTAGAATGGAAGGGCAAATAAAGTGCTTTCCAGGTAAGGTCAAGTTAAAAAAGTTCATCCTCAGGCCCTTATGATATGAAATGTTAAAGAGACTTATATAAAAAATTGAAAAAGATAAAAAAACTTTGAACAGTAAAATGACAACAAACTCACAACTATCAACAAATGCACCTAAAAAAAACAATGAAAACAAAGTCTAAGCAAACAAGTAGAATAGAAACAGAATCAGAGAAATAGACATCACGTGGAGGGTTTTCAGTGGGGAGGGGGAGGGGAGGAATGGGGGGAAAATACAGGGAAGAAGAAGCATAATTGGTAGGCATAAAATAGATGGGGAGAGGTCAAAAATGGTATAGAAAACAGAGAATTCAAAGAACTTATAAGGACAACCCATGGACATGAACTAAGGGGGAAAATTCTGAAGGGTTGGGGGTGCAGGGTGGAGGGGGAAAAAGGGGAAAAAATGGGAAAACTGAAAAAGCATAATCAATAAAATATACTTTGAAAATAACTTTTAAAAATAATTTTATGATGGATATACAATATAAAAGATGTAAATATGACATCAAAATGATAAAATATGGGGGGAGTAAAAGCACAGAATTTTTGCATAGGATTGAAATTAAGTTTTCATTAGGTTAACACAGACTAGTAAGTATAATGAATGTCAGTCTCGTGGTGGACACAAAGCAAAACCCTGTAGCAGATACACAAGAGACAAGGTGAAAGGAATCAGCTACCACTGCAGAGAATGATCAAATAACACAGGAAAACAGCAAGACAGGAAGGAAGGAATATAGAAAGTACAAAATAGCTGCAAAAATATTGACAAGTCCTTCCCTATCAATTATTACTTTAAATGCAAAAGGATAAATTCTTCAATCATAAGACATAGAGTGGATGAATAGATAAAAAATGAAAACAAACCAACAATAAAGCCCCTAGACCTGACTACACACTTCTCTCAAGAGACTCACTTCAGCCTTAAGGGCACACACAGACTAAAGAAAAGAGATGTAAATATATTCAATACAATCGGAAACTGAAAGAGAGCAGGGTTACCTGTTATTTTATACCAGACAAAGGAGCCTGAACCCATGACCATCAGCTCCAGGGCTTGGGAGCAGGAGGAGTGAGAGTGGGCCCAGGAGGAAGGGGAAGAGAGAAGGGGACATGGAAATGAGTGGGGTCCTTCCCAAAGCAGCAGCAGACTCAAGGGAGAAATTGCTGGTTCTAGGTTCCAGCCCTGGCTCTGTTTCCAAGTGCTGTGTGAGTGTGGATTTGGTCGCTTGGATGAAAAGAGAAAGAGGCCAGGGGTGGCTGAGATTTCAGCCTGGTGACTCAGTGTGGTGAAGGCCAAAGTGACAAAAGTCAGGAGAGGGGGAATGGGCTTGCAGAACCCCTTCCTCTTGGGCTTCACCTGGAGAACAGAGGCCTCCTTGGAACTTTCCACCACCCTGACCCCACAGAACTTCAGAGTCACTGAAACCAGCACCTGAGCTGGGTCTTGGCCAGGACCCTGTTACACGTGGCACCTGGCTGGGTCAGTTTCACTGCCTGGCCTGCATGGGTCTCAGTCCACCACCTGTCAGATCAGAGGGGCTGTGATCTCAACACTGCAATGTTCCTGAAAGATCATTTGTAGGCCTACTGGCCCCACGGCCCCATCCTGGCTCCTCTGGCCTCCTTATGCAGCTTCCTGGCCCAGGTCCTGCTGCAGCTACAGCCTCACCTGGGTGCACACCCATTGGCTGCCACGCAGCCCCACCTGGGCTCTCATGCCAACTAGCAAACCTCACTTTCCAGCTCTGTCCATCTGTCAGGCAAGAGTTTCAAGTTCTTTCTAAGTACTGGAGGGGCCCCAGAACTCAGTTCTATCACCGTGGTGGAGGGGAACCCTGTAGCAAAGGTCTGTTTGGAACTGGGGTGGGTAGCGGAATAGGGGACATGGGGCAGTGGGAAGTGGGTAAGGAGGATGACGCTAGCAAGCAGGGTGGGCAAGAGCCAGGTTACTGATCCTGGGGTCCTCCAACCAGGAAGAACCAGGAGGCAGAGACCTTGATTACTCAGAGAGGTCAGGAGGGACCAGCACACCCACTGCAGCCTGCCCCAGCCTCTCATGCAGAAGGACGCCATGACAGTGCCAGGTGCAGGTCCTGACCTGGCTCCAGGAAGTTTGCATCTGTGTCTCAGTTCTGCCTCTCCCTCCCCATGTAACTCATGACTCCTCTTTGTGCCTCAGCTCCTTGCACAGGAGGGTAAATCCTTTGCCACCCAAGGCTGCTAACAGTAGTGACATCTTCGGTGGCGGCAACAGTAGTAGCAGAACAAGTTTTGGGACACTGGATTCTCTCTTTGACCCTCTCACAGCCCAGAAGGCAGGCTCTTACTCACTACATTTACAGATGGGAAGACAGGTGTAGAGAGTAGTGAGGCCACTTGTCCTCTGTGGTGGTTCTGGGAAAGGAACTTGTTTCTCACCAACTCCCTTCTGTGCTTATAGCACAAGGCCAGGCAAGTTCCTGCTTGAGCGATGGGTATGAAACCCACATCCTTCCTGCAGGTGCCTTCTGAGTGTCAACCTCTGGTCCCTCCGGCCCTCTGAATTCTCCCTCCCAGGTTCTGTGGTGACCACATGGGTTTCTGAGGATGCCCTTGGTGTAAGTGAGGTCCAGTGAGGCCCTCCTTTCACAGATAGCCTCTTAGCTCCAGTCTAGTGTGAGCCTGGATCTCCCTCTCTGACAAGGAAGTCCTCAGTCACTGTTCAGAGGAAGGTCTGGCAGGGGGTTCGTGTTGGGGGCAGGAGATGGACAGTACCCAGACGGTGCTTTGTCTACTTACCTGACTCCAAGGCTGCCTCTTTCTGGACTCGGGCACACAGCTCGCTCAGGCCCATCAGCTTCCAGGTCTGCAGGGCCAGGTCCCAGGCCTGCTGCTCCCCATATTGAGCCACCAGGTGTGAAGCCACCTCCATGCTGTCCACCTTCTCTGGTTGAGCTGTGGTCACACCAGGGGACTGCTTGCAGAGATCCTGCTCAGGCAGCAACTGCTGGAACTCCTTCAGCTGGTCCTTCCTCAGTAACTCCAAGTTTTGGGCCAGCTGCTGCTGGATACTACTGGCCATCTCTGTTCCTTTGAGCTTGTCTGAGGCATCGGCTCTGTCTGCTCCACTGGACTTCTTAGTCCAGGCTGGGAGGGCCTTGGGGACATTCACTGTGGAAGCGGTGCAGTGAGAGGCATCAGACAGGCAGGGAATAGTGCTCATCCTTGGGCACAACTATCTCCCAGTGCAAGACTCCACTGGGGTCCTTATCATCACCTGGTAAACTGCTGTTCAGCATTCTGAACCCACTTTGTAAACCCCAGAGCATTTGCCAATAGATGGTTTTGGGGGAAGGGAGGTGAAGGGGAGAGGCAGGGAAGGCAGGGGAAGGAGGAGTACAGAGGAGTTGGGGGACCCTGGGAGGGGTCAGGTTACTGAGCGGCTGGGTCAGGGCTGGGGGCTGTCAGGAGAGTGCAGGGGAGGATGGGGGATGGGATGTTTGGGACACTCACTGTTCTGTGCTCCTCAGTCTTCCCTCTCCTGGTCCTGGAGTCCTGGGAGCAGCCTTGTGCTTTGATGTTTACTGGAGGTGGGGTGGGGGGAAGGACAAGCACAGGGTGGGCTTTCAGATCGCAAGATTTGGTTCCAAGCTGCACACTCAGGTCTCTTCAGATTTCTCCTCTGCCTGGGTCAGCAGGCAGGAAGAACACTCTCAGTTAGTGAAAGGCCTTCCAGAGGAAACCACACAGGGGTGTGGCCAGGAGAGGGGAGGGGCCAGCAGAGCTCCAGGCAAAACAGAAACTTAGAGCCAGACCCCCAGATAGGCCACACTACCCTCAGGCCAGGGGCAGAAGTTCAGGTGGGCCTCTGTGCTGGGTGCAGGCCCAGTAACATGGAGGGACCCCCATCTTCACTCGTGTACCCTGGCTGTCCAGCACCCAGAGCCTGCCCGCAGAGCCAGGGCTGAGGCTCTTCAGGAAGCTGGGTGTGTGGCCAGGTGAGCTCTCAGGATGGGTGGCCCCCTAAATCTCACAGGGTGGCTCCTTATTGGGGCACCACAGTGGGTCAGGGAGCAGCTTTCCCAGCCTCTCATAGTTTTCTGGGCTCCTGAGGCCTAGTGCATTCCTGACTTGCTGCAGGGACCACTGAGGTTGTATTCTGTCCAGGGGCTTTCTGCCTTGGGGCTGCTCAGCACTCAAGTAGTAAACATCCACCCGAAAGGGGAACAGCCCCTGCCTCATTGCAAAACCAGGCCTCTGGGGAACTTTCTTCTTAATTTGTAGAATTGGCAGAGCTGTGCACTCCAGTTGGAGGAGGGACATCATCTAAATCATTCCCTGTGTGTAGCAGTTTCTGGGGATGCCTTGAACTGACCTGGGCTGGAGAGGCCCAGGCAGAAGGAGCATCAGCTCATTGCTTACTGGGCACAGACCCCCTCCGTACCTGATTCATTTCTCTGAGCCTCAGTTTGCTCACTTATTAAATGAGATATGATAGGTTTGCCAAGAGGCTCAAATTAAGCAAAAGATATTAGTAACTTTAAAAATTGTTATATAATATTATTATTTAAGGACCAATAAGTACACTGGAGGACATTCAAGAGCCAGACCTGCCAGGAGTGACAAGTGCTGCCTAGAGGCGGGCTGAGCAGCAGGATCTGAGGCCACCATGAAGGGCCCTGAGACCCCATGTAGGGGGAGGTGAGGCCTGGAGGATGGGTGTGATGTTGTTTTATTTCTGCCTAACGCTGACTAATGCTGATCTCAGCTCTGGACATTGGCTGGGTGTCCTATGGCTGAGTTTCACGCTGACACTACTTGGAATCAGTGCAGGCCCCATGAGTTTAAGGGCCTAGTCCCTCAGGACTGCTCCCCACTGCAGATTTCAGGTCACCCAACTTTCTGTACAAGTTGGCAACAAATTCAGAGATCTCAATGACCCCCTCCCAGATAGTTTGCTTGAGTGACTCACAGAACTCAAAAAACTCTTTACTAACAGGCTTATTAGAAAGGATAGAGGAACAGCCACCTGGAAGAGGTTCACAGGGAGAGGTTTCATCACTAGCCATAACTGAACTCAGTGGCCTCAGTGATGGAGTTAATCTCTAGCCCCTGTCCCTGTAGGTCCTGCCTTGGTCTTTCTGGTGACCAGGCTCCATTCTGAAGTTACCTAGAGGCTCTCACTCCCCTCACTAGTGTACAAAGGACTCTTATCACTGCAGAGACCCCCAGGGTGTGCACAGCAGTGTGCCAGGAACAGGGGACATAACACAAGGTTTATTTGTTGTTATAGCACAAGGGTGCTAGTAGAATTCTGAGTGGAGACCCCATCTTGGAGGTCAAGGTCAGGCAGAGAGAGGCTCATAGAGCAGAAGAGTAGCAGAGAAATGTGCCCCTCGATGTCCCTCTCCACCCACCTCCCAAGCCAAGCCAAACCCTTGGCACCCAGGCACCTGTCCCTGTTTTTGGTTGTGTGTCTGACCTGTGGGTGTGACATGGCAGCTTCAGTGCCCAAAGCTATCAGCTCTGGAGTTGGGAGATCTTTGACTCATCCTTTAATTTAGGACACGACTAGAAGGCCAGCAGAAGCAGGTGTGGAGGCCCTGAGAAGCAATGGACCTTGGTCAGATGTCCCAGCAGGTCATCAGCTAAGCAGACCATGAGCCAGGTCTCTGCACACAGGCCAAGGACGTTTTCTGTCAGTGCATCCGTTGCATTCTAGGTCTGTGGAATTGGAGGAAAGGATATAATTTTTGGAGTCAGTAGGCTCATTTCTGCCTTTAGCAGTTTTGTAATTTTCGACAAGTCACTGACCTGCCAGGTCTCAGTGTCTACACCTGTAAATTGGGGAGGACAAGCCTACTTCACGGTTATGGAACCACATAATTCTCATGGGCGCTGTTGGCACAGCTGCACGAGCCCTAGGTCAGTGATGAATACAAGTTGACCCATCCTTTTCCTTCTTATTTTGCCTGCTAACATCCTACTCATTCTTTAAGGGTCAATGCAGAAGATGCCTCTTCCACGAAAATTTTTCTTCTTTGACTGTTCATCCCACAGTTTATTAAACAGATTCCAAGATGCCTTGCAGTTCAGGTGTCTCTACCTGGAGGCTGGATGGTGCAATGGAAAGTATAGGGTTTTAGGATCTATTGGGCCTGGGTCCTGAAGCTGACTCTGCCCTCAGCCAACCTTGGGCAATGCCTACTCTTTATATTGTATGTAAAGTGAGGAAAACACAACATATGCTTTATTCTAAAACATGCCAACTTATTGGACAGGTAACATCGGATGCACATGAAAAAGCCCTGCTCTGAGAGGCCTCACATGTGCCTCCTGAGATAATGCAGATGTCTCTTGGTACAGAGACCTGGAAGCAGAATGCAGAGGTTATGCCCCTTCTACAGTTGAGTGAAATCATCTGATAACAGGAAAAATAAAATGCAATTGGCATTGCTAGTAGAGTCCCTGTAAGTAGTCAGGAGGTTGTTAAGGACGTGGGACCTACACACACCTGTACCTCAGCTCTCAGAGCTGCTCAGCCTGATGCTGAGCTGAGCTCAAACTGAGCCATAACCATCCTGGAACAACTATTGTTTCACAGACACATATGGAACTTCTTTCTTATAATTTTTGTCCATTTTGTTCGCATGTTGGAAATAAGCAATCTGTTTAACCTAGTGCCAATTGATGGTCACTGGCACCAATTCAATGCCAAGCAGAATACCCAATGTGAGGTGCAGGAAAGGAAACTGTATTCAGTGCAAACCAGTTCAATTGTGATATAGGTCAGCTGTGAAAACAGCACACCTGTGAGGAGGCCATGGGCCAAGTGGCCTTGGGGTCTGTTCCTCTCCAACTAGAAGGTTGTGATGTGTCCCATACTGTTGGGCTCTGTGCATGTCTGCACTGGCCTGCACTGGCCTGCTCATTCTGCTCTGGCACTGCTGTTTGAGCTCCAGCCAGGCAAACACACTCTTTGGTGAAAACACACAGTATACTCCCAGAGCTTCCAGGAAGTGACTGACATGGACAAAGCTTCCTGTCCCTGGTCCCTGATTAATTTGTCTTCATGCAAATGAGGCCTACGAATCCCCACAGTTTGACTGATTCCAGAGTACTGTCCTGTTTGTCAGAATGGAGTCACCTCTGATTGCTTGGTGACATCTAAGGTCTAAGGAAGGCCAATGGAAGATACAGCTGCAGCAGCTCTGACTGGACAGGGAAAGCTTCAGTCCTATTGGCTGAAATAGGAATCCAGGAGCTGCTTTAGGAGGGCTGGCTCAGACAGCAGGAACACAGTGCAGGCAGGGAGCTCAGTCCAGGAGGCAGGCAGCTTGTGCAGGCTGCTCTGGGAATGCAGGTTGCATGAGAGGCCCCTCATGCCCATAGAGTTGGCTGCTAGCTTTTTAAAACAACACACTAAGGTCTCTAAACTTTATTTTCCCATCTGGTCAGCTAACCCCAAAGCTAGCAGAGCACTGGACAGTTGCATGTTCTTCTTAATTAAAACATCTTCCTTAGGCTAGTTTTTATTTAGTAAACATGAATCCTAGATCTCATGCACTTGACATGCAATTGTGTTATTTCTTCAATTGGTATGAGCACTCGTTTGTCTTAAGCCAATAAAATAAGGTTGCTTTACAACCTAAATGTGAATTTACAAATATATGTTGGCAATACTACCTGGTAGCAAAATATACCTTTTCTGTAATATACAAATGGAAATATACATAAAAAGACATCACAATCATATAAAACAAAGGAAAAATTATAGATTCAAATATGTTGTACGGCAGATGGACTCAGTCAAGGTTTTATTCTGGTGGCCAAAGTTTTTCATGCTGTAGAAAATTTTTTAAAGCCTTGTCTGAAATCCAAAAAGGCATTCTCCTGTCTGACAGGTTTGAAATTCTCTACTTTAAAGATTCTCCTTAAAGATGGAGGCATTGGTAGACACACTGTGCCTCCTTGCACACCCAAAACAAGGATAACAACAAATTTAAAAACATAAGAAAACCAGAACTGACAGAAAATCAAACTGTATAGAAGACTGACAACCAAGGAGTTAAAGTAGGCACAGTCATCCAGACCTGTAGGAGGAGTGGAGTTGGGAGGCTGGGAGAAGAGGGGTCTCGGCAAAGCAGTGGCTGGCGGACCCCAGGCGTGAAAGGCAGCAGCTGGGGGACTCAGTGATGTGGCAGATTGTGGAGTGGGGTGTGGTGCACAAGGAGGCTGGCTGAATGGAAGATATCACATTCACACACAGATAAACCAGGTGAAACTGGGGAGAGAGACAGACTGTGCAACTCAGGGTCCCAGCATGAAGACATAAAGCCTCAAAACACTGATTAAAAATACCTGTGGGGGTTGAGGTGCTGGGAGAAACTCCCAGCCTCACAGGAGAGTTTGTTGGAGAGACACACAGGGTCCTGGAATGTACACAAACCCACCCACATGGGAATCAGCACTAGAAGGGCCCAATTTGCTTGGGGGGAGTGTGGGAAGTGACTGAAATCCAGCAGAGAGCAAAGCAAGAACCATTGTTTCCTCTTGGACCCCTGCCCCACATACAGCATCACAACCCAGCAACTGGGTTGCCCTGCCATAGTGAACACCTAAGGCTCTGCAGCTCACACATAACAGGTGCAAAAAGACCAAAATATTTTGGCTCAAGAAGAAGAACAGCTCAAAGCCCCAGAGCCAATACTTTTAAGT